TCTATTTTTTAGCTAACATACCTGTAAATTTTACCTTATTCCTAGTAATGACCCTCGTATTGTAGATAGTCTTAATGACCCTCGTGTAGTAGATAGTCTGTATGATAATAAGATGTTATTTTCATTGTAGAATAATAAGAAAATATTATAACCTTCATATTATAATAATAAGGTAAAAGGACCCCAATGGAAATAAGTCACTCTGTCTGACTTTTTTGGGTTATCCTAGGTTCTCTACACATATGCTGCTATGTATGATAATTCTATGTAACTGTATTTGTGTATACCTGAATAAACTTACTTACTTACTTACTTATTTAGCATGGGGTGATGGTTACTCGCTGATAAACAATGGCAACCTGACTGTGGATGGTGTGTGGGTCCGCTTGGGGCCGCACGTATGCATTTGGGACAAGCGGCTATTACCGAGGAAAATGACGATCACCAAACCAATATTTTGGCAAAAAAAGTTACGATTACCGAATATTAAAAAATCCGATGACTACGACATCCAGGGGTTCACTGTATTACGATAGTGCAGTATGTAGTAATCTGCATAACAGCAAATCTTATTTTTTGCGTGAATAAAAATTCAAAATGGAAAGCAAGTGCAACATAAGAGGGGCCTGGAGACATGACTAATGAACAGAGAAAATGTTATTTTAGTGCCAGGAATGTCTGCGTTGTTTATTCTGGACCCTATTTTGAAATTGGCATTTCCTGTCTGTCCCAACTACTGGATCACTACGACAAGGTCCTAGATGCACTAGCAAGACAAAAAGAATGCAGAGGTAATATACACAGACTTTGCAAAAGCCTTTGACAAGTGTGACCATGGCGTAATAGCGCACAAAATGCGTGCTAAAGGAATAACAGGAAAAGTTGGTAGATGGATCTATAATTTCCTCACAAACAGAACTCAAAGAGTAGTAGTCAACAGAGTAAAGTCTGAGGCAGCTACAGTGAAAAGCTCCATTCCGCAAGGCACAGTACTCGCTCCCATCTTGTTTTTCATCCTCATATCTGACATAGACAAGGATGTCAGCCACAGCACCATGTCTTCCTTTGCAGATGACACCTGAATCTGCATGACAGTGTCTTCCATTGCAGACACTGCAAGGCTCCAGGCAGACATCAACCAAATCTTTCAATGGGCTGCAGAAAACAATATGAAATTCAACGATGAGAAATTTCAGTTACTCAGATATGGTAAACATGAGGAAATTAAAACTTCATCAGAGTACAAAACAAATTCCAGCCACAAAATAGAGGGAAAAACCAATGTCAAAGACCTGGGAGTGATCATGTCGGAGGATCTCACCTTCAAGGACCATAACATATCAATCGCATCTGCTAGAAAAATGACAGGATGAATAATGAGACCCTTCAAAACTAGGGATGCCAAGCCCATGATGACACTATACAGGTCGCCTGTTCTATCTAGGCTGGAATATTGCTGCACACTAACAGCACCTTTCAAGGCAGGTGAAAATGCTGACCAAGAAAATGTACAGAGAACCTTCACGGCACTCATAACGAAAATAAAACACCTCAACTACTCTGAGAGCTTGAAGTTCCTGAACCTGTATTCCCTGGAACACAGGCAGGAGAGATACATGGTTATATACACCTGGAAAATCCTAGAGGGACTAGTACCGAACTTGCACACGAAAATCACTCACTAAGAAAGCAAAAGACTTGGCAGACGATGCAACATCCCCCCAATGAAAAGCAGGGGTGTCACTAGCACGTTAAAAGACCATACAATAAGTGTCAGGGGCCCAAGACTGTTCAACTGCCTCCCAGCACACATAAGGGGGATTACCAACAGACCCCTGGCAGTCTTCAAGCTGGCACTGGACAAGCACCTAAAGTCAGTTCCTGATCAGCCGGGCTGTGGCTCGTACGTTGGTTTGCGTGCAGCCAGCAGCAACAGCCTGGTTGATCAGGCTCTGATCCACCAGGAGCCTGGTCACAGACCGGGCCGCGGGGGCGTTGACCCCCGGAACTCTCTCCAGGTAAACTCCAGGTAGTAATATGTAATGGTATTACTAGTAAAAATAGTAACAAACAGTAATAACACTAATAGTAAAAGTAATAGTAATAATAGTAATAGAAATAATAGTAATAGCAGCAGTAATAGTAATAGCAGTAGTAATAGTAATAGCAGTAGTAATATTACTAGTAGTAGTAGCTTTAGTAGTAATAATAGTAGCTGTAGTAGTAATAGTAGTAGCTGTAGTAATAGTAATAATAGTAATAGAAATATACATAGTAATAGTATCAGTAATAGTAGTAGTGTTAGTAATAGTTGTCATCACTCGTGGAAAAAAAAAAAATACATACAAGTACAGTAGACCCCCGGTTCGCGATGCTATCGGTATCCGATAAATCCGGTAACCGATGCATTATATCGCAGAAAATTTGCCTCGCTTCCCGATACAAAACCCGGTATGCGATGTGGTTCGTACGAGACGTGTCCATGTGTGGCCTGAACTGCCCCGTGTGTGGCAGTGTTTACAAGCCAGCCAGTGTGCGCGCATCTAAGGATACATTCGGTACATTCCATATTATCCATATTATCACTGTTTTTGGTGCCTGTTTTTGCAAAATACGTCACCATGGGCCCCAAGAAAGCTCCTAGTGCCAACCCTTCGAGACCAAGGGTGCTAATGACTGTTGAAATGAAGAAAGAGATAATTGCAAAGTACGAAAGTGGAGTGCGTGTGACGGAGCTGGTCAGGTCGTATAGTAAACCCCAATCAACCATCTCTACTATAGTGAGCAAGAAAACGACAATCAAAGAAGCTGTTCTTGCAAAAGGTGCAACTGTGATTACGAAACAGCGACCACAAGTGTTAGAAAATGTTGAGAGACTGTTATTGGTGTGGATAAATGAAAAACAGATAGCAGGAGATATCATCTCTCAAGCAATCATTTGTGAAAAGGCTAGGCAGTTGCATGACGATTTGGTAAAAAAATTGCCTGCAACTAGTGGTGATGTAAGTGAATTTAAGGCCAGCAAAGGTTGGTTTGAAAGATTTAAGAATCGTAGTGGTATACATAGTGTGATTAGGCATGGTGAGGCTGCCAGTTCAGACCACAAAGTGGCTGAAAAATATGTGCATGAATTCAAGGAGTACATAGAGGCTGAAGGATTGAAACCTGAACATGTGTTTAATTGTGACAAAACAGGCCTGTTTTGGAAGAAATTACCAAGCAGGGCCTACATTACTCAGGAGAAAAAAGCACTCCCAGGACATAAGCCTATGAAAGACAGGCTTACTCTGTTGATGTGTTCCAATGCTAGTGGTGATTGCAAAGTGAAGCCTTTATTGGTGTATCACTCAGAAACTCCCAGAGCGTTCAGGCAAAAGAATATCCTCAAGGCTAATTTATATGTGCAAAGTGGCTTGAAGTGCAAACCTTTATGGATGAAAATCACCCTCAGACAGCTATTGCAAGCCGTGCTGGTGACTATTACACTGACAATGTTGTGAAACACTTTAGGAAAGTCATAAATGAACGAGAGGTACAGGCCTCTATGGACAGATATGTTGTGCGACAGAGGTCCAGTGACTCTCAACCTGGTCCTAGTGGCATTAAAAGAAGAAGGGAAGTAACCCCGGAAAAGGACTTGCTACCTCAAGTCCTAATGGAGGGGGGATTCCCCTTCTAAATGCTAACACCATCCACACTCTCCCCTCCTCCCATCCCATCAATCATCACCAGATCTTCATTAAAGGTAAGTGTCAATTATTCTTTCATTATTTATTGTTATTTATTGTTATTTATTGTTATTTATTGTTATTTATTGTTATTGTAATTACTATTTTATTGCATTAAACTTAATATTTCATGTGGTAAAGTTTTTTTTTTCATACTTTTGGGTGTCTTGCACGGATTAATTTGATTTCCATTATTTCTTATGGGGAAAATTGATTCGCTTTCCGATATTTTTGGTTTACGATGAGCTCTCAGGAACGGATTAGTATCGCGAACCGGGCTGTGATTTCTTGCAAATGCAATTAAAAAACTTCCTCCAAAATTGAATAGAATGTACTATGGAGGCCTTTTCACACATGTAAATTTTGGATGCACCTTTTCCAACTGAATTTGGAAAAAACTGCACTATATAATGTAGGTTTATAAGAAAGCTGCCTATACAGCATAATAAAAACAAGGATAAAATTAACAATAAAAATAATGACCACAACACAAACACTGCAGTTATACAAAAGATGGTTAAATTTTATGTACATTGGTACTGTGGTTCAGTACCGAAGTGCATAAAATATTGACGCTGGTTAAAATAACCAGTGTCAATTAATAACCTCATAGATGGATGCTCAAAGCACACATGATCCACTAGGTTGTGAGGAAATATTGCTTCTCTCTCTCTCAGATTGATAAGTAAAATAAAGTACACTACAGGCAGACCTCCTTAATGTGGCATTTGCTTTAGAGTCTTTCACTAACATGAATCTTTCCAATTTTTTCAATTCTATTCATGTTTATTTTTTTTTTTTTTTGGTGCTTGCCTTGCTCTTAAGGTGCTTTTCAGCAATTTTAAATTTTATTTATTATTTTTTACATCCTTTTTAAGGCACTTAATAAATGGTGTAAACACGTTTTTTTAGGCTTTTATAAGCACTAGCAAGAGAAAAAATGCTGTAATTCACTTAAAAGTGATGTTTGCTGCATGGCAGCAGTCTGGAAGCTAACCCGCCATATTAGCGAGGTATGCCTGTACAGTGGAACCTCAAAAATCGAACTTTTCCCAACACAACCAATTATGTAAGTGTATTTTTGTAAGTGCTTTTATAAGTGTATTTTTTGAGGGTCTGAAATGGACTAATCTAATTTACATTATTCCTGATGGGAATAAATTCATTCGGTAAAAGCACTCGAACAGCCTTCTGGACTGAAGAAAGTTCGATATTTGAGGTTCTACTGTATATGGAGAGGTGAAGACAAATTAGAGATGGATACAACCTCACCTTTAAATTTCTCCACATTGAAGCCAACAGTTGGGACAATTTCCGTGGTCTTCTGGTCTTCAGATTTAAAATGATTGAGCATTGTGGACTTGCCTGAATTATCAAGGCCAATGACCAACACACTTGCCTCTCGTTTTTTCAGGCCTAGAGCGAAAGCTAGTTTATCAAACATTCCCATCGTGAATTTTGTTTACTGTCAGAATATAATGCATGTGACTAGATGGCTCCTGAGTAGTGGTTTTCTGTAAAGATTTTTGTTGCTCGTAAAATTAACAAGTTATTATCGTAGATCACTTCATTACATCTAATGATATGAATGCCACCAAAAATAAACTACGTATCTTATTAATGACAAATCTTTTCATGTTGCTATGACGAATTGATGGTGGGAGTTCTTTACTGCCATCTCTTAATCAATGATGACCTGAAACAAGATTTCTGACATTAATATTTAGTGGTCAGCAGAGTTATATAGGAATTGCAGTAATTTCTTTAAAAATATATCAGTAGTTGCTTTAAGTTATCTCAAGGCTAAACAGTACATATATTTCTCGTTTTAAATAATTCAAACTCTTAACTGCAAAACTTCAAATCTTTCTGAAGTCCATGTTTTACCAAAATAACCTTCAGTTAAACCTTCTCTCTTATCTCTACAGTAGCCAATTTCCTGCAAATAAAGTCAGCAATTATTGTATAGGACATACCAGTAAATAAGTGAGCTCAAAAAAAAAAAAATGAATATTCAACGACATGTACAAGGTCAATCACTGGAGTGGAACCACAGTCGATGGCCTCCACTCCAAACCAACAGATACAGATACTAATGCCGGAAAAAAAATCCCCCCCCCCCAGTACCAACAATACCACCAGTCCAATAACATTCTTCTTTGCAAATATACAGGGTCTAAAGCCAGCAACAAACAACAAAATACCTTTCATCCGTGGACTGCTTGCAGAGGCAAAGGCAATGTTCGTGGCTTTCACTGAGACCCACATAAAGGATCATTTGGACAACGAAATATGGATCCCAGGTTACAACCTATACAGATGTGACAGAGTGAACAGGAAAAAGGGGGGGGTTGGCCTGTACATTGCAGAGTCACTTGTTTGCACAGAACTGCTTAATGCCTCAAATGATGTAGTGGAAGTTTTAGCAGTAAAGGTCGAGAACCAAAACATAGTCATTGTGGTAGTCTACAAGCCTCCGGATGCAACATCCCAGCAATTCCAGGAACAGCTGTTAAAAATTGACCACTGTCTGGAAAATCTTCCAGCTCCTGCACCCAACATCTTGCTCCTGGGGGATTTCAACTTAAGGCACCTAAAATGGAGGAATATAGCAAATAATATTGTTGCAGTAATAACACCAGGAGGCAGCTCTGATGAAAACTCACACTCACACGAGCTTTTAAATCTCTGCACAAAATTCAATTTAAACCAGCAAATAATAGAGCCTACTAGACTGGAGAATACACTAGACCTCATCTTCACTAACAATGATGATCTGATAAGAAATGTCACCATATCAAAAACAATATACTCAGATCACAACATAATTGAGATTCAGATATGTATGCGTGGAGCCCCAGACCGACAAAATGAGACTAGTCACGAGGGAGCATTCACCAAATTCAACTTCAATAACAAAAACATAAAGTGGGACCAAGTAAACCAAGTCCTAACCGATATAAGCTGGGAAGATATACTAAGCAACACAGACCCCAACTTATGCCTAGAACAGATTAACTCGGTGGCACTCGATGTTTGCACAAGGCTTATTCCTCTAAGAAAAAGGAGGAGTAGATGTAAAATAGAAAGAGACAGGCGCTCCCTTTACAGGCGACGGAAAAGAATAACAGAGCGGCTAAAAGAGGTCAATATATCTGAAATGCGTAGGGAGACACTGGTCAGAGAAATAGCAAGCATCGAACTTAAGCTAAAAGAATCCTTTAGGAGTCAGGAATCGCGGGAAGAACTAAAAGCCATAAATGAAATCGAAAGAAACCCAAAGTATTTCTTCTCCTATGCCAAATCAAAATCGAGAACAACGTCCAGTATTGGGCCCCTACTTAAACAAGATGGGTCCTACACAGATGACAGCAAGGAAATGAGTGAGCTACTCAAGTCCCAGTATGACTCAGTTTTTAGCAAGCCGCTAACCAGACTGAGAGTCGAAGATCAAAATGAATTTTTTATGAGAGAGCCACAAAATTTGATTAACACAAGCCTATCCGATGTTATCCTGACGCCAAATGACTTCGAACAGGCGATAAATGACATGCCCATGCACTCTGCCCCAGGGCCAGACTCATGGAACTCTGTGTTCATCAAGAACTGCAAGAAGCCCCTATCATGAGCCTTTTCCATCCTATGGAGAGGGAGCATGGACACGGGGGTCGTCCCACAGTTACTAAAAACAACAGACATAGCCCCACTCCACAAAGGGGGCAGTAAAGCAACAGCAAAGAACTACAGACCAATAGCACTAACATCCCATATCATAAAAATCTTTGAAAGGGTCCTAAGAAGCAAGATCACCACCCATCTAGAAACCCATCAGTTACACAACCCAGGGCAACATGGGTTTAGAACAGGTCGCTCCTGTCTGTCTCAACTATTGGATCACTACGACAAGGTCCTAAATGCACTAGAAGACAAAAAGAATGCAGATGTAATATATACAGACTTTGCAAAAGCCTTCGACAAGTGTGACCATGGCGTAATAGTGCACAAAATGCGTGCTAAAGGAATAACAGGAAAAGTCGGTCGATGGATCTATAATTTCCTAACAGAACACAGAGAGTAGTAGTCAACAGAGTAAAGTCCGAGGCAGCTATGGTGAAAAGCTCTGTTCCACAAGGCACAGTACTCGCTCCCATCTTGTTCCTCATCCTCATATCCGACATAGACAAGGATGTCAGCCACAGCACCGTGTCTTCCTTTGCAGATGACACCCGAATCTGCATGACAGTGTCTTCCATTGCAGACACTGCAAGGCTCCAGGCAGACATCAACCAAATCTTTCAGTGGGCTGCAGAAAACAATATGAAGTTCAACGATGAGAAATTTCAATTACTCAGATATGGTAAACATGAGGAAATTAAATCTTCATCAGAGTACAAAACAAATTCTGGCCACAAAATAGAGCGAAACACCAACGTCAAAGACCTGGGAGTGATCATGTCGGAGGATCTCACCTTCAAGGACCATAACATTGTATCAATCACATCTGCTAGAAAAATGACAGGATGGATAATGAGAACCTTCAAAACTAGGGAGGCCAAGCCCATGATGACACTCTTCAGGTCACTTGTTCTATCTAGGCTGGAATATTGCTGCACACTAACAGCACCTTTCAAGGCAGGTGAAATTGCCGACCTAGAAAATGTACAGAGAACTTTCACGGCGCGCATAACTGAGATAAAACACCTCAATTACTGGGAGCGCTTGAGGTTCCTAAACCTGTATTCCCTGGAACGCAGGAGGGAGAGATACATGATTATATACACCTGGAAAATCCTAGAGGGACTAGTACCGAACTTGCACACGAAAATCACTCACTACGAAAGCAAAAGACTTGGCAGACGATGCAACATCCCCCCAATGAAAAGCAGGGGTGTCACTAGCACGTTAAGAGACCATACAATAAGTGTCAGGGGCCCGAGACTGTTCAACTGCCTCCCAGCATACATAAGGGGGATTACCAACAGACCCCTGGCAGTCTTCAAGCTGGCACTGGACAAGCACCTAAAGTCAGTTCCTGATCAGCCGGGCTGTGGCTTGTACGTTGGTTTGCGTGCAGCCAGCAGCAACAGCCTGGTTGATCAGGCTCTGATCCACCAGGAGGCCTGGTCACAGACCGGGCCGCGGGGGCGTTGACTCCCGGAACTCTCTCCAGGTAAACTCCAGGTAAGTAAATATATTCGAGTTTTGTGCTTTACTAGTCGCCATGCCCTTGCTTCTGGGTATAACTCTGGCTTTCTTTTTCTGTAGTTTTTTCCCCACCCATCTATTCTTCATCTCTCCTTATTTTCCCCTCACCCTTCGCAGGTCCTTACCTGCGAGTTATTCTAGTTCTGCTGCAGACCTGATCAAACAGGAGACGGAACTCCTAATACACCGATGATATGCAATGTATTATTTTTTTTTTTTTTAACAAGTCGGCTGTCTCCCACGGAGACACGGTGACGTATTTATAAATATTAAATTGCACTGCCTCCTGGTATAATTCATTAGGTGGTAAAAAAGACCCATTAGATAACTACATTCTTGAAAATGGCATATAATAAAAAATGTATAAATTGAAGAACATATAGGAAAAATTAGCCAACATTCACTACACAATCCAAAAAAAAGTCAAAGTTTGTATGTCTCTAAATTATAATAAATGATTATCAGGTAATTGTAGGTTGATATAGTAAACTCCAGGTAATTATACAGCACCTGTGGGGGGGGAGGGAAGGTGTTCAGGCATAATTCAGGGAACTGGAACACAGATCCAATTCCCTAGATCAAGAGCCCTTCACCAGCATCAAGGAACCTCCTTTAATGGGGGGGGGGAGAATAATTTTAAGGCAGTCGGAAATAACAAAGAGCTTCCTATAAATTAGTTCATTCATGTCAATCAACTTCATTTCACTTGTATAATGTATTATAATGTATAGAAATACAATAAACATTGTATAACCTCATCAAGAGCCCTTCACCAGCATCAAGGAACCTCCCTTCTGAGGTTTCCATAATAAAGGCTTCAATTACATTATTCATAGAAATATCTATTAAAAAAAGGTTAATACCGAATATAAAAAAAATACATTATTTTTGAATACACGAAATTTATTGATTTACTTCTTTGGAGATTATCTTGTCAATAAATCCCTAATAAAATGGAATAAATCTGCTGCAGGATAATAAAGAATGTCTCCCTCCTGTGGCTATGATATTTTCACGCTAATAACTTACTTTAGGAATAGTGAAGTTAGAGAAATACTGAAAAATAATGCAAACTGACGCCTAAACTATCCAAGCAGCAGTTGTTGACGTTGGTTTGAAGGGTTGCGACGGTACTAGGACCGTGTGAACCATCCTGCTGAAGGTGTAAGAATGGAGGACCACGACGGTACTAGGACCGTGTGAACCATCCTGCTGAAGGTGTAAGAATGGAGGACCACGACGGTACTAGGACCGTGTGAACCATCCTGCTGAAGGTGTAAGAATGGAGGACCACGACGGTACTAGGACCGTGTGACCCATCCTGCTGAAGGTATAAGAATGGAGGACCACGACGGTACTAGGACCGTGTGAACCATCCTGCTGAAGGTGTAGGAATGGAGGACCACAACGGTACTAGGACTGTGTGAACCATCCTGCTGAAGGTGTAAGAATGGAGGACCACTACGGTACTAGGACCGTGTGAACCATCCTGCTGAAGGTGTAAGAATGGAGGACCACGACGGTACTAGGACCGTGTGAACCATCCTGCTGAAGGTGTAAGAATGGAGGACCACAACGGTACTAGGACTGTGTGAACCATCCTGCTGAAGGTGTAAGAATGGAGGACCACTATGGTACTAGGACCGTGTGAACCATCCTGCTGAAGGTGTAAGAATGGAGGACCACGACGGTACTAGGACCGTGTGAACCATCCTGCTGAAGGTGTAAGAATGGAGGACCACGACGGTACTAGGACCGTGTGAACCATCCTGCTGAAGGTGTAAGAATGGAGGACCACGACGGTACTAGGACCGTGTGACCCATCCTGCTGAAGGTGTAAGAATGGAGGACCACTACGGTACTAGGACCGTGTGAACCATCCTGCTGAAGGTGTAAGAATGGAGGACCACGACGGTACTAGGACCGTGTGAACCATCCTGCTGAAGGTGTAAGAATGGAGGACCACGACGGTACTAGGACCGTGTGACCCATCCTGCTGAAGGTGTAAGAATGGAGGACCACGACGGTACTAGGACCGTGTGAACCATCCTGCTGAAGGTGTAGGAATGGAGGACCACAACGGTACTAGGACTGTGTGAACCATCCTGCTGAAGGTGTAAGAATGGAGGACCACTACGGTACTAGGACCGTCTGAACCATCCTGCTGAAGGTGTAAGAATGGAGGACCACGACGGTACTAGGACCGTGTGAACCATCCTGCTGAAGGTGTAAGAATGGAGGACCACGACGGTACTAGGACCGTGTGAACCCTCCTGCTGAAGGTGTAAGAATGGAGGACCACGACAGTACTAGGACCGTGTGAACCATCCTGCTGAAGGTGTAAGAATGGAGGACCACGACGGTACTAGGACCGTGTGAACCATCCTGCTGAAGGTGTAAGAATGGAGGACCACGACGGTACTAGGACCGTGTGAACCATCCTGCTGAAGGTGTAAGAATGGAGGATCACGACGGTACTAGGACCGTGTGAACCATCCTGCTGAAGGTGTAAGAATGGAGGACCACGACGGTACTAGGACCGTGTGAACCATCCTGCTGAAGGTGTAAGAATGGAGGATCACGATGGTACTAGGACCGTGTGAACCATCCTGCTGAAGGTGTAAGAATGGAGGACCACGACGGTACTAGGACCGTGTGAACCATCCTGCTGAAGGTGTAAGAATGGAGGATCACGACAGTACTAGGACCGTGTGAACTATCCTGCTGAAGGTGTAAGAATGGAGGACCACGACGGTACTAGGACCGTGTGAACCATCCTGCTGAAGGTGTAAGAATGGAGGACCACGACGGTACTAGGACCGTGTGAACCATCCTGCTGAAGGTGTAAGAATGGAGGACCACGACGGTACTAGGACCGTGTGAACCATCCTGCTGAAGGTGTAAGAATGGAGGACCACAACGGTACTAGGACTGTGTGAACCATCCTGCTGAAGGTGTAAGAATGGAGGACCACGACGGTACTAGGACCGTGTGAACCATCCTGCTGAAGGTGTAAGAATGGAGGACCACGACGGTACTAGGACCGTGTGAACCATCCTGCTGAAGGTGTAAGAATGGAGGACCACGACGGTACTAGGACCGTGTGAACCATCCTGCTGAAGGTATAAGAATGGAGGACCTCGATGGTACTAGGACCGTGTGAACACTCCTGCTAAAGGTGTAAGAATGGAGGATCACGACGGTACTAGGACCGTGTGAACCCTCTTGCTGAAGGTGTAAGAATGGAGGACCACGACGGTACTAGGACCGTGTGAACCTTCCTGCTGAAGGTGTAAGAATGGAGAACCACGATGGTACTAGGACCGTATGAACCATCCTGCTGAAGGTGTAAGAATGGAGGACCACGACGGTACAAGGGATTTATGACCATCCTCTCAAGAAACTGGTCATGCATAGTCCTCATACTTCGATTACTTTCTAAAATCAGTGCTCTGAAACACCTGAACGACCCTTAATCAAACAATACTTTCACGCAGACTACACGAACGGCCCTCTTAACCCTGTAAGTAAGTGGGATGGCGGAAAGCAGTGCTACTGTAAACCAGACTGATGGTACTGTAAAAGAGATGTATTAGAATTAATAACTGGTCTTCCACTTTGTAAACTACGAAACTACGACCCCACAGTGTAAATGTAACTCATCTACCTCATTACTTGTTCTAAATGGACTGAGACCTGAACGTAGCAGGCTAATAAAGCTAGACACACACCTGCACTTTCTCTACACATATGCTGCTATGTATGATAATCTATAAGTGTATTTGTGTATACCTGAATAAACGTTCTTACACAAATAATATAGGGATAAGAGTTAAAGTTTCGTGGCTTCCCTCTCACATACGTCCAGGAGCATGAAAGAGTTGATGAATTAGGTAAACATTATATAGAGAGAATATTGAGAACAACTTTGGTTTGTCAGACCTAGATGAAAGTAGATTATCAGGGGGAGAGCTAAACTTGTAGGGATTATATAACGGCTAAAGGGAATGGAAGGTTATTCTGGGTGGCTTCTTGACCCTCCCTCCCTCGGGTTATTCTGGGTGGCTATCTGACCCTCCCTCCCTCGGGTTATTCTGGGTGGCTACTTGACCCTCCCTCCCTCGGGTTATTCTGGGTGGCTATCTGACCCTCCCTCCCTCGGGTTATTCTGGGTGGCTACTTGACCCTCCCTCCCTCGGGTTATTCTGGGAGGCTATCTGACCCTCCCTCCCTTGGGTTATTCTGGGAGGCTATCTGACCCTCCCTCCCTCGGGTTATTCTGGTTATTCTGTTCCACAAGGCACAGTACTAGCTCCCATTTTGTTCCTCATCCTCATATCCGACATAGACAAGGATGTCAGCCACAGCACCGTGTCTTCCTTTGCGGATGACACCCGAATCTGCATGACAGTGTCTTCCATTGCAGACACTGCAAGGCTCCAGGCGGACATCAACCAAATCTTTCAGTGGGCTGCAGAAAACAATATGAAGTTCAACGATGAGAAATTTCAATTACTCAGATATGGTAAACATGAGGAAATTAAATCTTCATCAGAGTACAAAACAAATTCTGGCCACAAAATAGAGCGAAACACCAACGTCAAAGACCTGGGAGTGATTATGTCGGAGGATCTCACCTTCAAGGACCATAACATTGTATCAATCGCATCTGCTAGAAAAATGACAGGATGGATAATGAGAACCTTCAAAACTAGGGAGGCCAAGCCATGATGACACTCTTCAGGTCACTTGTTCTATCTAGGCTGGAATATTGCTGCACTCTAACAGTACCTTTCAAGGCAGGTGAAATTGCCGACCTAGAAAATGTACAGAGAACTTTCACGGCGCGCATAACGGAGATAAAACACCTCAATTACTGGGAGCGCTTGAGGTTTCTAAACTTGTATTCCCTGGAACGCAGGAGGGAGAGATACATGATTATATACACCTGGAAAATCCTAGAGGGACTAGTACCGAACTTGCACACGAAAATCACTCACTACGAAAGCAAAAGACTTGGCAGACGATGCACCATCCCCCCAATGAAAAGCAGGGGTGTCACTAGCACGTTAAGAGACCATACAATAAGTGTCAGGGGCCCAAGACTGTTCAACTGCCTCCCAGCACACATAAGGGGGATTACCAACAGACCCCTGGCAGTCTTCAAGCTGGCACTGGACAAGCACCTAAAGTCAGTTCCTGATCAGCCGGGCTGTGGCTCGTACGTTGGTTTGCGTGCAGCCAGCAGCAACATCCTGGTTGATCAGGCGCTGATCCACCAGGAGGCCTGGTCACAGACCGGGCCGCGGGGGTGTTGACCCCCGAAACTCTCTCCAGGTAAACTCCAGGAGGCTATCTGACCCTCCCTCCCTCGGGTTATTCTGGGTGGCTATCTGACCCTCCCTCCCTCGGGTTATTCTGGGAGGCTATCTGACCCTCCCTCCCTCGGGTTATTCTGGGTGGCTACTTGACCCTCCCTCCCTCGGGTTATTCTGGGTGGCTATCTGACCCTCCCTCCCTCGGGTTATTCTGGGAGGCTATCTGACCTCCCTCCCTGGGTTATTCTGGGTGGCTATCTGACCCTCCCTCCCCCGGGTTATTCTGGGTGGCTACTTGACCCTCCCTCCCTCGGGTTATTCTGGGTGGCTATCTGACCCTCCCTCCCTCGGGTTATTCTGGGAGGCTATCTGACCCTCCCTCCCTCGGGTTATTCTGGGTGGCTATCTGACCCTCCCTCCCTCGGGTTATCCTGGGTGGCTATCTGACCCTCCCTCCCTCGGGTTATCCTGGGTGGCTATCTGACCATCCCTCCCTTGGGTTATCCTGGGTGGCTATCTGACCCTCCTTCCCTCGGGTTATCCTGGGTGGCTATCTGACCCTTCCTCCCTCGGGTTATCCTGGGTGGCTATCTGACCCTCCCTCCCTCGGGTTATCCTGGGTGGCTATCTGACCCTCCCTCCCTCGGGTTATCCTGGGTGGCTATCTGACCCTCCCTCCCTCAGGTTATCCTGGGTGGCTATCTGACCCTCCCTCCCTCGGGTTATCCTGGGTGGCTATCTGACCCTCCCTCCCTCGGGTTATCCTGGGTGGCTAGCTGACCCTCCCTCCCTCGGGTTATCCTGGGTGGCTATCTGACCCTCCCTCCCTCGGGTTATCCTGGGAGG